TAACATTATATTAAAATAGTGATGCACATATTCATAGCATTATTGACAGTTTCTTATGTTCAATATATTATTCTATCAATTTATATAAAAACCACTTTCAATGAATCAATTTTTATTTGTAAAACTTGTACTTGTCTTGTTTACAGATTACTTGAGGATAAATGAAAACATAAAAAACCTGTATAGAGTTGCATTGAGGAATGACCTGAACACAACTATTACAGATGTTTTTAAGAAAGATCCATAGAATATTCCACTGTATTTAACTGCTAGGATTTCAGACAACGATGATACGGCTCTCCACATTGCAACTGCGACAGATTCTACTGTGTTTGTTCAAGAACTGGTAAATAAGATGGAAAAAAAAGATTTGGCTATTCAAAATCGTGATGGATGTACTGTTTTTTTTCTTGCTGCTGCATCTGGAAGGGTGGAACTTGTCAAGCTGATATTTGGGAAGAATATAGAGTTACCAAGTATCTGCGGACATTACAAGATGTTACCGATTCACATAGCAGCTCAGGGTGGCCATAAAGAGATGGGGGCGTACCTTTATGAAGTCACTAAAGATCAATTAACAGAAGATGATCTCATCGAATTGCTTCGTCATCTGGTTGCTAGAACTGATTTGTTTGGTAAGCATGTCTTAACATCTGGGTTAATTGCACAGTCACTTGATAATCTTTACTTTTGATTGAATTAATTTAACTACGTAGGTTTTAATTGAAATTATATGTCCTTCACATATTATTAATTAAACTAAATGTACAAAAGTGTAATCGAGCAACACTCCACAAGGCGCGTTGGAGCCGTTGGGATATGTTTGAGGGAGGTCCACAGAAAATGTTGGTATATCAGAAAATGAGGACTACCCCTTCCACGTCGCAGTTAAGGAAAACTACTCTATTTGTCTCCGTAAACTAGTATATTAATGCAAAGAGACGATTTTGCTATTAAAAATTGTCATGGCAATACTACTTTTTTTATTGCTGCTGAATTGGGATGGTGGAACTGCTGAACTGATGTTTGAAAAGAATGAGAATTACCAAGTACCGTGGAGACAAGGAAATGCTACCAATCACATTGCGCTCAGGGGGCCATGAAAAAATGGTGGAGTTTCTTTATAAAGTCCAAGGACCTCTGGATGAAATGGATAGCACAATTTTTTTGGTAAGCACCCCACTTTTTCTAATATTCTAATTGCTTATTTACTTATTTACTTGATCATATTAGTTTTATTAGTTTTATTATGCTTTTATAAATTAAATAAAAAAAAAACTATTTTATTTGTTTAAGTTTTTATTAATTAATATAATATGGTATTACCCAGAGTTTTGATTTAAATATAAAATCCTCTTGAGTATGAAATAATACAAAACCGGCCCATTCCTATTATTTTAGTTTATAAAGCCATTAGAATACTAATTCTATTGATAATGCGATTAAACATGCAAGAAATTAAGTGTAGGAGACCTGATCACAAAGTTATGTTACGTGATGCGTCAATAGATTATAAAGAGTAGGAAAATGCTATGCAAGATGAGTTAGAATCTAACGAGAAAAATAAGGTTTGGTACTTAGTTGGTTTACCTTAGGATAGAAAACCCATAGGTTGCAATGGTACTCAAAAAGAAATTGAAGGCAGATTGTAACCTAGACAATGTAAGCAAGGCTAGTTTCCGAAGCTATACATAATAATTTGGAATAGACTTTGTTGATACTTATTCCCTAGGGCTAAATTTACACCAATAAGAATACTCTGTTAGTATTACAAGAATGAATTTGAGCTACACTATTAGATGTCAAGACTGATTTTCTAAATGGAGAGTAAAAGAAGACATTCACATGTCCACCTAAGGTTTTTTGATTAAAGGACATAAAAACAAAGTCTACAAAATATCTTTGTATGAACTAAAACAGTCATCTAAGATTGGTATTTGAATTCCACTTAGTTATCCTAGCTTAAGGAACAACATGAGTCCATTAGATCATTGCTTTATAGTTGGATTGCCATATAAAATTAGCTTATTGTCACTATATGTAGATACAATAAAATTGGTTGGAAATTGCATAATATGATTAATTAGACTAAATTATATCAATGTTCAAAAATTGAGAAGAAAGATATGGCAACATCTTATGTCCTAGGATTAAAATTGTTAGAGACAGAAAAATTCAAAGATGTTATTGAACGAAATAGAGAAGCAACGGGAACAAAATAATAATAGTAAAACAAAACAAACAGTAAACAAAGAAATTATATGCGCGATTTTATCCTGGTTCACCACATGTAGCTACGTCAGCTGAGTCAATATTATTGAAATATGCCTCACTCTCTCGTTACATAAATGAATTGCTCTCACAACACTAACAAGAAAAAGTATGTTATATACTAAGTTAAGAGATAAACCTAGTTTTACAAGGATTCCTATTCCTAAGCCCAACCCAAAAAGAATTAATAACTAAAGGAATCCTACAGCGTTACATGGAAAAGCCCAACCGCCTACGGGCTCAGGGGCACTGCCCTCGCCTCGCCACCGGGAGCGGCACCCGCCCCTTACGGGCAGCGGACCCCCGAGTGCGTCTCCGTTACCCTTAATGCTGAAGTAGTCAACAACTCAACAGTTATATCTAGACCAAAAAATTATCTAATTGTATTCAAGCGGGTTAATATGATAATTTGTAAACTATAAAGGCAACGTACTCACTAAATATTTGTTCTGCAGATGAGAATGAAATAAAAGAAATGAACTAAGTTTTCTTTTCACAAGCAGTCGAAGTCCGATGTATGTAATGACAGTACAAGACCAAATATATTTCATGCATGTGAGTATGGCTGGAGTTAGTATATATCCATCAAATCCTTGTAATTCATTGGCAATTGTGAAAAGGATTATGAATATCCGAAGGCACTAAAGGTATCAAACTGTGTTTTGGTTTAATGATCTAGAACTTATTGACTATTGATGCAGATTTTGCAGGTGACATAGATGATGGAAGTCCCACGGTAATATATATTTTATTTGGTGGAACAACTATTTATATATAGGAAACAGCGTGTGTTGCAAAGTCAACCATAAAAGCCGGATTATAATCTTGTGGCAACATTGTAAGTACTACAGTATGGCTAAAAGATTTAATGCTCACCTACAATTGGTGACTTGATAACATGTTTATGTGTTTTGCATAAAAGTCTGTCATCTTTTTGGTAAATAGTGGAGCTAATAGTTCCAAAGGTAAGACACATACTATAATCTTATGGCTATATTCAAGATATAATGGAAGGGAGAAATCAAAGTCTACTATATAATCTGGTGAGATGGTGGCTGATCTTAGGACCAAGGATTATCTTTGGAAAAGTTTGAGAGCTTTGGCCTACTATGGGCTAAAGAATCATCTAGATGTATAGTTAGAACGGTGATATAATAAATTATATAAAACACAATTCGATGCACCATTATCTGAAAATAAAGAAAAGAAAAAAAAGAAAAACGAAAAAAGTACATGGCTTAACAAAAAATATAATCATGAATGTCGTTGTAAATCCATTTTGATCGTGTGTAGATTTTTGGGGACTAGGCATTTACATCAAAACCAGTTTGAATGAATTAGTTTTTATATATAAAATTTGTTTGTGTTTTACCTTTGCAGATGATCTTGGAATAAATGAAGACATAAAGAAATTGTATAGGACTGCACTGAGTAATGATTGGCTCACATATGATTGGAATGTTTTTAAGAGAGATCCAGATAAAATTTCAAAATATTTAACTACTAGTATATCAGAAAACGACAACAACGCTCTTCACGTTGCAGCTGCGGCAGATTCTTATATGGTTCTCCTAAAACTGGCAAAGTATATCACCGAAGAAGATTTGGCTATTCAAAATGGTGATGGCTATACTGCTTTTCGTCTTCTTGCTGCATCCTCACGGGTGGGACTTGCCGCCTTGATGTTTGAAACGAATGAAAAGTTACCAAGTATCCGAGGATATGATGAGATGTTACCGATTCACGTTGCAGCCCGTCGTCACCAAAGATGAATTAACAGAAAAGGATCGCATCGAATTGATTCGCAATCTCATCAGTAGAGCTGATTTGTTTGGTAAGCATAATGCACTATTCCTGATATTTACTTTACTTTTACCAAGAAGGTTATAGTTGGAATTATAGCATGTATCTTTGACACATATATATGAGTTGACTATGGATATGTCCATATAAGCCCAACAAACGACTTTTCATAACCAATTTTAATAAAATTTATTAATATCAAAACGAAAATTATTAATAAGCACAAGTACTACCTATTATACAAAATAAATTTGATTTTTATTTTATATTTTACAATATATTAAAAACACCAAAATTTCATTTTCTCCTAATATTTTTACAGTTCCCTTCTATATTTATTATTCATGATATTAATTGGTTGTTGTCTCCTAGATGAAGCGCTGCAGTTGCTAGAGGACCACAAAAATTTAGCCACGGCTAATTTAGGGTATGAGTGGAGGTGGGAGACAGCATTGCATATCTTGGCTGGAACACCTATGATGTCTCCTAACTTGGCCAATCAAAATCAGCAAGGAATTTTGAAGAGATACTTCAACATATGTTATTCTCTCAAATCTTTAGCTCCTTCTAAGTTTCTTTTGATTCTCTCCATCTTTGAATTTTAGTTCTAACATTTGTTGCTGTTATCAATTTTGCAACACCAGTTTCCGATAGCGACAAGTTGCCCACCCATGAAAAGCTATCCCCACAAACACTTGAACTACTCCATCTCCTTTTGAAAAAAGTAGATTATGGTGGCACCTGGATTGATGAAGTAATAAATGTTGCTGTCGCACAAGACAACATCGAACTTTTAAGCATGATTATTTGTCATTATCCAGAATTGATATGCAAAGTTGAGGGAGACACAGATACATGTGGCCGAATATTTTGTAATGCTGTTTGGAAACGTCAGAAGGATATCTTCAAACTGCTCAAAAAAAATGTAGGCCCACGATTTCAGAGAAAATTACTTCAAAAAGTACACCAGTACAAAGATGATGAGGGTAACAATATCTTGCATTACGCTGGAATGTCGCCTCCATCAGATAAGCTCGATACTATTTCAGGAGTAGCTTTTCAGCTGCAGCAGGAGTTATTATGGTTTCAGGTAAATTAACAACACTTTTTGTTTCTTTTACAGAAAACAATTTTTTTTTCATTAGTTGATAATATGTTTAATAACATTAAATATAGGAAGTGAATAAGATTGTGAATCCATTGGTTGCGGAAGCTAAAAATGAAGAAAGTCAAACTCCTAAAGCTTTATTTAGTGAGAAGCACAAACAGTTGACGGAAAAGGGGGAGAAATGGATGAAGGATACTGCAAATTCATGCATGATTGTGGCAACCCTTATTGCCACTGTGGTTTTTGCTGCAGCTTTCACAGTACCAGGGGGTATCAAAGAAGAGTCGGGGACGCCTCATTTTGCTCACAAACTTTCTTTCAAAATTTTTGTCATATCAGATGCAATATCTCTGGTATTATCCGTCTATTCAATCCTAACCTTCTTATCTATTCTTACTTCTCGTTATGCCGAACAAGATTTTCTTTCCAAGCTGCCTAAAAAGTTGGTGATGGGACTCGTAACACTTTTGTTATCAATAGCAGCAATGATGGCAGTTTTTGTTACAACTGTGTTCATTGTCTTCAAAGTTGAAAAAATTTGGGTTCGTGTTCTTCTTTGTTTGATTGCTTCTTTACCTGTCATCGAGTTAGCGAAGCAAAACTGTCCACTCCTGTTTGATGTTGTGCGTTTAATGTTTAAAAGAAGTTTTCTTTTCGAGGATAAATTTTGGAACTGGCTTAAGGCAAAATACATGCACGTTGGGTACGTACTAGTATATCAGAAAACGACAACAACGCTCTTCACGTTGCAGCTGCGGCAGATTCTTACATGGTTCTCCTAAAACTGGCAAAGTATATGACCGGAGAAGATTTGGCTATTCAAAATGGATATGATGAGATGTTACCAATTCACGTTGCAGCTCAGAATTAACAGAAAAGGATCGAGTCGAATTGATTCGCAATCTCATCAGTAGAGCTGATTTGTTTGGTAAGCATAATGCACTATTCCTGATATTTACTTTACTTTTACCAAGAAGGTTATAGTTGGAATTATGGCATGTATCTTTGACAAGTATATATGAGTAGACTAAGGATATGTTTATATAAGCCCAACAAACCACTTTTCATAACCAATTTTAATAAAATTTATTAATATCAAAACAAAAATTATTAATAAGCACAAGTACCACCTATTATACAAAATAAATTTAATTTTAATTTTATATTTTACAATATATTAAAGACGCCAAAACTTCATTTTCTCCTAATATTTTTACAATTCCCTTCTATATTTATTATTCATGATATTAATTGGTTGTTGTTTCCTAGATGAAGCGCTGCAGTTGCCAAAGGAACACAAAAAGTTAGCCATGGCTAATTTAGGGTATGAGTGAAGGAGGGAGACAGCATTGCATATCTTGGCTGGAACACCTATGATGCCTCCTAACTTGGCCAATCAAAATCACGAGGAATTTTGAAGAGATACTTCAACATATGTTATTCTCTTTAATCTTTAACACCTTCTAAGTTTCTTTTGATTCTCTCCATCTTTGAATTTTAGTTCTAAAATTAGTTTCCGATAGCGACAAGTTGCCCGCCCATGAAAAGCTATCCCCACAAACACTTGAACTACCTAATCTCCTTTTGAAAAATGTAGATTATGGTGACACCTGGATTGATGAAGTAATAAACGTAGCTGTCGCACAAGACAACATCGAACTTTTAAGCATGATTATTTGTCATTATCCAGAGTTGATATGCAAAGTTGACGGAGATACAGATACATGTGGCCGGATATTTTGTAATGCTGTTTGGAAAAGTCAGAAGGATATCTTCAAACTGCTCAAAAAAAATGTACGCCCACGATTTCAGAGAAAATTACTTGAAAAAGTACACCAGTACAAAGATGGTGAGGGTAACAATATCTTGCATTACGCTGGAATGTCGCCTTCATCAAATAAGCTCGATACTATTTCAGGAGTAGCTTTTCAGCTGCAGCAGGAGTTAGTTTCAGGTAAATTAACAACACTTTTTGTTTCTTTTACAGAAATTTTTTTTTTTTTTTTCATTAATTGATAATATGTTAAATAACATTAAATATAGGAAGTGAATTAGATTGTGAATCCATTGGTTGCGGAAGGTAAAAATGAAAAAAGTCAAACTCCTAAAGCTTCATTTGAAGGAAAAGGGGGAGAAATGGATGAAGGATACTGCAAATTCATGCATGATTGTGGCAACCCTTATTGCCACTGTGGTTTTTGCTGCAGCTTTCACAGTACCAGGTGGTATCAAAGAAGAGTCGGGGACGCCTCATTTTGTTCACAAACTTTCTTTCAAAATTTTTGTCATATCAGATGCAATATCTCTGGTATTATCCGTTTATTCAATCCTAACCTTCTTATCTATTCTTACTTCTCGTTATGCCGAAGAAGATTTTCTTTCCAAGCTGCCTAAAAAGTTGGTGATGGGACTCGTAACACTTTAGTTATCAATAGCAGCAATGATGGCAGTTTTTGTTACAACTGTGTTCATTGTCTTCAAAGTTGAAAAATTTGGGGTTCGTGTTCTTCTTTGTTTGATTGCTTCTTTACCTGTCATCGAGTTAGCGAAGCAAAACTGTCCACTTCTGTTTGATGTTGTGCGTTTAATGTTTAAAAGAAGTTTTCTTTTCGAGGATAAATTTTGGAACTGGCTTAAGGCAAAATACATGCACGTTGGGTACGTACGCCGAAGATGTTACCGGCGCTGTCGTAATTCTTTCTGGTCAATCCGCCACACGCTTCCTGTTAGTAAGGGTACGAAAATGTAAAGCTTAGAATATAGTTCGGGCCTTCCGGCGCAACTTACCTCAAACGGCAGCGGTGTGAAGATCAGCTTAACAGCAAGTCGAAAAGTCAGCTCAGAATAAGTACTCGCGTGGAGGATGAGAGCTTGAATAAGTTAAAATTTGATATAGTTATTATATGTTGTCAGCAAGTAGTTATAAGAAGTTACAATTCTGTTTTAATTTGCAACTTGCAGATTAGCTTTGTATAAATGTGAGACCGCAGTTAATTAGTTTCTTAATAAGAAAAGATAGCTGAACATTAATCTGTTCTCATGCATGCTGATACGGGGATATTGAATATAATTAATTTTTGTCATGTGAAATATATTTTTTATTTTGAAAAGAGAGAGAAATGAAGATACCCGCTTTATAAATTGATACCTAAATATATTTTTGCCACGGGTTATAACATGCGCTGGGTACGAAAGAGGAGAAGAAGAAGATTTCAAGTGATAGCAAGAAACGAAAGTTTCATAGCGATAAATAATCTCACAAGAGATTATTATCAAATCCTTCAAATTAGATTAATTGTATATTGTGGTGAATTTTTGGGTTTTTTTTATTTGCTTGATTGGTTGTAGTAGGAATGGGTTTGAGAAATTTTTAGTTCAATAGCTATTAGGATTCTTTATTTATTATTTGCCGTTTCTACTTTTTTTTTTTTTTTTTTTAAATAAAACCTCATAACTTGCTCTGTGCTTTGGTTTGGTTGTCATTAAAAAACTTCAAGTTCAATTATTATTATTTTTTATTGTGTTATTATTTGAAAAATATTGGTTGGTAAAGGTTTGTTTTTGGTTGATATACATAGGCTGAAAAAGCTTCTAATTAACTCATCTCTTTATTAATCTCAGTTTCACTATCTTATTATGGGGAATTTTATATATGCATCTTGGAGATAATAAAAGAAAAGTTACAAAAAGATTAATGTCATATAATTTTTTTTTGGAAATTCGATTAAAAATCCGAGTAACTGGTAATCGAACCGAATTTTCGGTTTAGTTCAAAACCAAGTAATTCTCAAATCGATTTGGTTACCGGATACCGTTATAACCTAACCCGTATTTTCTATTCAGGTTAGCCAAATCCATAACTGATTCGGGTATCTGGTTTTGCACACCCCTGCTGGGACTTGTTTTCTAATTTTCCAATCCTATTCAAGTTAAAACACTTCTTCTTCTTCTCTCCCATCGCTCTCCCGGGCCAAATTATTAAAAAATCATTTTAAGTTTGGATTTAATTAAAAGGCCATGAAGTTTGAAACTCTTTACTAAATGGCTATATTTTTTATCAAGGTTAATTAATCACTAATGATGTTTAAATTAGGCTTAATTAATACTTATTTTTTAAATATTTTTTTGTCCCCAAAAACACAAAATTTTGCAAAGAAACCCAAACCAAAACAAAGAATTTGCTGCCCTCCCACCCGCCATTAATGACCTGCCTCCCTCTTTATTATTCTTCTCAGCAAAACCAAAGCCCACTTCCTCCTCCTCCTCCTTCTACTCTTCCTCTACAACTTCTTCTTCCTTGTTACCCAAAGAAAGAGATATTTTGATAATAGTCGGTGAAGTTCCAGCTCCTCCTCCTCTTAACATTTCGGTCAGGTTGGTGTTACTCCTCTTGGTATTTTAGATTTTTATCCACTAAGATTTAATGGATTGGGATTGGGTTTGGGTTTGGGTTTGGGTTTGGGTTTGGGTTTGGGTTTGGGTTTGGGTTTGGGTTTGGGTTTGGTTTTGGTTTTGGTTTTGGTTTTGGTTTTGATTTTGATTTTGATTTTGGGTTGTCTTTAATGTAATGCAAGTTGAAAGGAATTAATATTTTTGATGATTTTCCTGCATTGTGGGTAGTTGGGGGTGGTAGCAATTGCCAGAGTCTATTAGGTGCAAATAAAGAAAAATAACTTTGATGAAGGATTCCATATCTGATTTATTGCTTAAGCGGTCTAGTATATCGCTTTAAGCGACTCTACAGATGCCCCTTTAAATCTATCAACCCTTAATAATTTTTTTTTCTTGTATTGTAGGTATTTGACTATTATTAGACATGGGACAAGTTATTTTGGGTGTTGAATATTTTGGTAAGCGGGTGGAGGACAAAAGTTGCTAGACTTGGAATGTGAAGAACAAAGAAGTTACACCAATTGTTGTGAGTATAGAAGTTACTTTTGATGAGTTGATTGATGAAATCATTAAAAGAGGTGAGTTGAGCTGCCCACATAGTGATATAATCATGAAGTACATTTTAAGTAGAGTGCCTCTACATTACAAGGTACCCCATGTTGTATTAAAGTTGGATGAAGGTCTAAAGTTATACATGTTTGATGTGGACGATAATGGTTCG